GTTACAAGAAAGCCTTCTAGCCATAAATCACCTTATGAAATTGCTTTCAAGCAAATTTGCAGATGCTATTTCGTAAAAATAGTTGACCGGCTGCGGCCTCTGATGCAAGTCTGCGTAGCAAACTATCCACAAACCAGAGTGTCGCCATATTTGCGCCCGTCTTCGGAATAATCGCGAATAACTTTGCTAGCTACCGTAGGGTTGAGCTCTTCAGTGTTACCCCTGGTTCGCGTTTCTCCGACCATGAATGCCGGGGCTACTACAAATACTTTATCCCCGGAATGTCCCCATCTTATTGAGCTGTTCGTTGAGACTTCCTCTAACTGCTCACGCTGCGAGCTGACACTTCCCTATACCTACTATGGTTATTTTAGGTGTGCACTTACAAGTATCTTCTAGCCAGCTATCAGAGAGGGTCAAATGTACTCCAATAGAGGAAAGGTGCCTTCAGAAACACGAGCGAATGCCATTTGACACCTGCCAGCGGGTTGTACGGATTTGTAGTGTATTGTGGCCTATTTGTCACAGGCATAACTAACGCCGGCGAGCTTCACACAAGTGCGACTTCCTGGGGCCCGAGTAAGTATGTAAGTAACCGAGACCCAGGATACTTACCTGGGGTTCCGCATTGAGTGTCTGTTGGCTGAAGGCAGTTTGCTCAACGCAGTCTGTTTTGTAGGCAGTTTTAGTTGTCTTGGGTCTAATTCTTTACCAAACAGTAAAAGTCAGAAAATGTTGCTTTATTTACCCAAACCGGAGCCTAAATAGCCACGTATGGAGGTAGCCAACTGAAGTCGTGGATGAACCTAGTTAAAGTAGACCTAGGGCGCTCTTCCCGACTCCGAATTGTAATGATTTATATCTTTCCAATATTTTGACCGAAAGTATGCCACCAATTGCCGCCTTCTTATTTTTTATGACTCAACCTACAACATGAAGCCGAAAGAATCACTGTCGACAAATGCCATAACAACTTTAAGAATAGAAACTAATGGGCAAACGCATAGTTATACATTTTTTTACCTACAGCCTTTTCAACTAAAACTTCAGGTCAAACCAGTTCAAATATTTGCAGATG